GACTTGTTTGTTCGCCAATTGTTTGTGAAAATGCTTTGGTAGCAACGCGATAGCCAGGACAGTTCTGCTTTAGAGACCCGTTGTGCCAAACTTGTACATAGGTCCATAGGCGACTGGAACCCTGATTTTCACCCTGTCTCGGAGAGACTGTGAGGTCGTTCGACGGAACCAAGCAGAGTGGGATTGGGAGCGAGAGCTCGCTGGCTGTCACTTAAGAATCTCTACGTATGTGTGTTCTTCGTGGCATTGAAGCCTTCAGGAACCATAGAAACACAATGTTGAATGTCTTCCCCTCCATGTCATCTTGCCCTTACATTTCAGGTTGTTTACATGCTATTCAGGGCCGAGTAAGCGGAGAGCTCTTCCAATATCAAGAAGCGGAGATCAGCGGGGCTTCCAAAAAGGAACCAAAGATGAGGCTTACTTTACTAAACCCGAAAATGCCACAATCCCTATGGTATGATTTCTCTTAAGAAGACAGCCCGCTTTTGGGAAGCACGAAGCAGCCAGGCTTCTGGATGCCGAAGAGGACGCCCGAAGGCGCTGTGCGGAGAACGAGGGCCGTGCTCCTTGGGGATGCAGATGGTTGCTTGGCTTTGGTGCAGGGCGTGTTACCTACAATTTACTTACTTGGAGGCCCATGGGACTTAGTAACTACTTATAACTGGGATTATATCCCTACTTATAATTGGGGCAACTCCATTTAGGGGGATTATAAGTAGGGTTATAAGCCCAGTTATAAGTGGTTACTAAGTCCCATGGGCCTCCAAGTAGTAACTAAGCTATAAGTTATCATCTAGAAGGGCTTTGCATATTCCTTGTAGAACTCTGACTGTATGACCTGATAGAACCCTTTTTGGGGTCCAGACTTAGTTGTAGACTTCCGGTTTGCAGTTTGGGTTTGTGGTGCTGGGGTTAGGTAGTGTTTTTGACCCTAGAGCATTCTATGATGAGGCTTTGGCATTTTTGTTTGGTGGAGGAGTATGGATCTACATAGTCTAAACTCCTAGTATCCCCAATAATAACCTCTATAGTGATCCCATATATAATCCCCTATATAACCCCCCTTTAAGGAGTTTAAACCCTAAACCCTAAACCCTAGACCCTAAACCCTAAACCCTAAACCCTAGTTTAGACGATGGTTCACTTGGCACCCCTTTTGCTGCAGTGTAGCACCTTGAGAAGTTGGGGTTCAGTATGAGGGGATGGACTGGGAAACCTTCATTAAACCCCCCCCCACCCTTAAAGGGGCTATAGAGGGGTTTAGGGTGTAGGGTTTAAGGTTTAGGGTTTAGGGTTTAGGGTTTAAGGTTTAGGGTTTAGGGTTTAGGGTCAGAGCCACTTGCTCACGAAACAAATTGGCTCTTCTTACAGACAGGGCCGCTAAGCAAGTTAGGTTACTTTCAAGCTGAACCCTTTGAGGCCAGGTCAGAAAACCGTAGCCCCTCTTTGCCTATAAGCTATATTACTCACCTAGCAGCCCCTCTAAAAGCCTAAACTCTATATAAACCCTACATCCCATATAAACCTAAAACCCTAATGTTACTAACTCAGCGGCCCCTCCTAGTTGCAATCTTCTGGCCATGATGAATCAGCATCCAGGTTCGAGGACTGGCGAAAGAGCCTGGGCCTGGCAGAAGCTCAATCTAGGGTTTAGGGTTTAGGGTCTAGGGTTTAGGGTTTAGGGAGAGCCCTAGGGCTGTAATATAGGGTAAGGATATATGGGTTTAGAGTGCAGATAATATGGGGATAATGGAAAAGAAGCTGGAAACTACTCTTTTGGGTTTAGAGCTTGGGTTTTTTCGAGGGTAGTTCTAAGGCGGGTACTCACCCATGCGTGATTTTCCCATGCCAAAGAGGTAGAAGGTCTGACAGGAGTACTATCTTCCTGGAAGCTGCCCACTGAATTAGGCAACAGCCGACCTCGAATTTGAACCCTCACATTTGTGTTTACATGGGGATGACAGGGGTTGCGTAGGTTTTTAGGGTTGCAGAAGGGTTTCTGTGTTGCGGGGACTACATGCTTAGCTAAGGGAGTCTCAAACTCGGGGTACCATTTAGCTCGAAAGATCTTAACTGCATCAAAGGTTTCCCAAAGATGCCGATCTAAGCAAGTTGAGCTGTACGAGCCACAACGACAAGAGCCCCAAACCCCAAACCTTAGCCAAGGAACCGCCCTAAACCCCCTAAACCCCAAACCCTAAACCCTAAACCCTCAACCCTTAGAACCTTGCTACACCCTTAACAAAATCGAAGGAACGTCCACAAAGCTGTGCAGTTGAAGCAAAGCCTTCACGTTTTCTACTTCGAGGGCCGCGTCGGTCAGGGCCAGTTGGCTTGGGATCAGCTTCCCTGTCAGGAGGTGGGGGCCAAACTGGAAGCTACTACATTATAATGGGGAATATATTGGGGTTATAGTAGGGACAACGGAAAAGAAAATGGAAGCTACTACATTATAATAGGGTCCATCATGGGGCCCAAAAACTGGATTCTATCAAGGATCCCTAATATGATTTAGGGTATATTCCCAAATGAAGGGATATTGGGCTTCCGGGGTAGCGCTGAGTTCCACCATATGAATGCTGAAGTGGTTTCTGGCAATATCCCCACAATCTCAGCTCATCAATCGAGCCCTACCACCTCCCGCTATGATGATACACCCCTAGCCCGTATGATTAGTTGCTCCTCAAGGTGATGCTAGCAAAAAGGAAAATATTCATCATTAGGGTGGGTTTGGCAGGGGGAAGGAATAGATGGGGGGTTTCCCAAAAGTAGGGGGTACCATTTTGGGGCTCCCTATAATGAGGATTATAGCATTTTGGGGTCCATATTGGGGTCCCCTCATTTAGGGAAACTACCAAGTCTGGAAACAACCCCTTTGCAGAGGCCAAGGAGCGTGTTCGGCTTCAGAGCGGTTTGGGCGCCTCCCAGACGCTGGGCCACATGAGCTGTAGTCTAAATTCCTTAAAGGGGGGATATGTAGGGGATTATATAGGGGACTACTATAGGGGTTATTATTGGGGATACTAGGAGTTTAGACAATGGCTCATATAAGCATGTTGTTTCTGGCACCTGTTTTAGACCGGTAGTGTTACTGTCCAATGATTCTTACGCGCGTCAACCAAATCACTAGACTAGTTGCAATCCTTGAGATTTCTGTTGCAGGCCAGGGAAATCAATGTGACAGCTACAAGAGTTACAAGAGCCTGCAAAGATGACATTGCTCCAAGCTTTTAACCTGTAAACCCTAATCCCTAAACCCTAATCCTGAACCCTAAACCCTAATCCCCAAACCCTAATCCTGAACCCTAAACCCTAATCCCCAAACCCTAAACCCTAATCCCTAAACCCTAATCCCTAAACGGCCAAGGACAGCTGAAGTCGCCTATCTGGACAAGTTGCGCTCCTGGGCCTTTAGACTTCCAGGACTACATCCACAGGTAGCAGCAACAACAACCAGGACGAGCACAATCAAAACGACGGCGGCGACAAAATTCACCAACAGATGTGAATGACAAGCAGTAGGATTGACCATAGAAAGTGTCACAGCCGCAAGCATGGTGCGGATGCTCAATGCACCCGGGAAGTTATGTTTCAGGTCTGCGAGTTTGAAGTTCATCCCAAAAAGCGGCACCAAGGCTAAAAGCCGCAAACCTGCAAGCGGAACCATTCAAGCGGAACCATCCAGGGGTTTCATATAGACTTCAGGGTTTTGGGTTCATAGGGTTCAGGCACCTGTAAGTGTAGTGCCGTAGGGGCCCCAATGATGACTAACATCGTTTTGAGGTCTATTTGAGGTCGTGAAAACGATAATTCTGCAAGGAATCAGGAACCAGAACTTTGGTAATCATTCAGTGATTTCCATAAATAGGGCTTATCATGGGGGGACCCCTAAAATGGGTACCCCTAATTTTTTGAAACCCCTTATTTGGGCCTCCATGGTAAACGTCAACCGCAAGTGCTTCCCCCTCTGCTTCTCCATGAAGCCCAGAGTAAGCCCCTAAACCCTAAACCCTAAACCACCCCCACACTTGAAGCCCTCAGCCTTGAAGGTCTCAGCAGAGTGACCCAGCTCAACCGTGTCCAAGCCCTTGGGTTTAGGGTTTAGGGTTTAGGGAATTCATGCCCTGCGGTTCCCACCCCTCAGCTATCCCTTCCAGTCCGAAATTAAGCCCAGGTTTTGCATATGTGGAGCATGACATCTGCACCTTCAATCAGCTGGTCTCGGACACAGCATCAGAAGAGCCCGCGACGTAAAAAGGTTGACCCGCAGCTTGTGGATTGCAATCCCTTCCCCCAATATTCACTTCTCCCCTAAGATTAGATATTCCGAACATACTCTCATATACCATAACGAGTTTGGGGGTGAATATCAGGGGGAGGGGATTAAGGGCCTAGTAGGTCAGGGTGCAACCTTTAACCTTTCGGGGTACTCAGCAGTACCTTTACAACCCCAATACATACCCTACAACCCATATGTAACAACTATATATTCCTCTAGTTTCCGTTTCTTTTCCATAATCCCTATATAACCCCAGAAGGCTTAAAAAACCTGACCTTTCTGAACCCTAAAACCAGCCCCCGTACTTCCTGAACACCAAAAGCCAAGCCCATCCCCCCTGAACTCCCAATCACGGCCTCTGAGCCTCGACCCTGGATCCGTGGCCTTATAGTCCCCGTTAAGTAGACAGAATATGGGAGTTATATGGGGATAATGGAAAAGGAAATGGAAACTACCCAGAGCCATATTCTATCTACTTAAGGGGGACTATAAACCTTCAACACTTGAGCCCGAAGGCTCGCTGTTTTCCGGACATCTAAGCTTCCCCCTGTTCTCTGTGACTTGCCTGAGTCTGTTGGGCCTGCAGGCAGCAATTAGGCTGACTTCTGGAGTCACCCCAATCCTGTGCCGCCAAGACCCCCCTCAGAAGGGATCCAAAACACCTCAAAAGGGACACCCAGAATTTGAAGAAAACACCTGCTGACTGTTGCGAACTGAGTCCGTCTCTGCGGGCGTCGAGGTACGACCACGGCGGTCTGTGTATGTTTCGGTTTTTAGGGTTCAGGGTGTTTGGGGCGAGTAGGGACTCGATCCCCAAAAATTTTGTTTTAACCTATAGACATGTATGCCAGTGTTCTCTGTTCGACTGCCATTGGAGGTCCAGTAAGTTGGAGAAGAAATCCTGCATCACTCTAGGCCCCATACACCCTCTAGCATAGCCTTTCGCAGTCTTTGCGGGGGATCTGAAGTGGTGCAAGATTTCCTCCATCCACTGCAGGAATCGCCACACTTCAGGGATTCCTTCATCAGCAGTATGTTCGGAAGGGTTCTGAAATTGCTGGTCCCGTCTTAGGGCACCAACATGTAGCTGGCCGTATTGAGACTTTTACAACCTTACCCGCCCCCCCGCCCACGTGGTGTCTTTTTGAACACCGGCCTAAACTGCCCTTACATCCGATTCCTCCAGTTACCCAGGACCTGGGAAAAGGGTTCGGGGTTCCATATAACTTTTAGTTACATAGCCCCAAACCCTCAACCTTAAATTGAACTCTAAACCTTATAGTTACAGAGCCTGCTAGGCTACCACTTAGGTACCTGGGAGCCCTAGGGTTTGGCGTTCGACACATTTGGCAGTTGTAGGAACTACTTGGGGGTCCAGGGGACCTACCCAGTATACTGATGAACCCTATAAGCCATACAGTAACCCCACTTATCCCTATTATTAAGCGACTCACTAAGTCCCCCTGGCCCTCCAAGATATGCTTGCTTATTTCCGTACCTGCACTCAGAAGCTGCAGACACAGTTTAGCCTGGAGGGTAGCTTGAGCAGTGTCTTCCAGGTCTAGATAGTAACCCATGACCCTGTAACCCTCCGCCGTGGTGCACTCAAATTGATGGGCTACTTTCCTGAATCTGATGGTGCTGGCTTCCGTGATCATATGCCATGGCAATCGCACAATCTTCTCAAACAGTTGGTAGAGTCTTCAGAGGGCTCTTTGTAGGCTAGCGGTGTACCCTAAACCCTAAACCCAAAGCCCTAAACCGTGTCTTGCTGGCGGTCTCAAACCTTGCTGAACTACGAAAGGTGGCTGTTGATCAATGCCTTTCGCTCGGAGTTGTTGATGTACGGCTTAGGCTGCCCTAAACCGCAAACCCTAAACCGAAATTCTGTGTGGTGATTCAAGAACTGAGTTGGGCCTAGGACTTCTTCTCTTGCAAGACTGGATGTATTGCCCGGACAGGAGTCCGACCTCCCAAAAGTGGAGATCTGGGATCCAAGTGCGGACAAAGGCGGGGGAGTTCATGGTATTTTACACTTTCAACGTTTTTGGTTTGGGGTTTAAGGTTTAGGGTATTAGGGCTACTAAGGGTTAGGAGTTGAGGGCTTTGGGGAGTTCAGGTTTAGGGCTTAAGGTAACTGAAGGGGTTCCATGTTGCTGTTGGAGGTGCTTTATAGTTCTTATTATATTAAAAACCCAATAGTCAATGTAAACGTGTAGTTTTCATGGGAGTCTAATAAGGAACTAGCTTTATAGGAGGGAAGCCTAGCAATCGCTGGCAGTGTAGCATTCGTCGCATTCCTCTTGTATAGTTATGCGTATAGTTTTCCACAGATAACATACTCAACCCTAAACCCTAAACCCTAAAACTACTTGAATGATTCAACCCAGGACCCAGCTGCAGCTTTTAGTCGGTATAAGAAGACATGCCTTCTTGATTTCGTGAAGTGCCTGATGCAGTTTGTAGATGCTCCTTTCAGGCCCTAAGGTAGGTCAACTACTCATATTCTAGCTACTTAAGGGGGACTATAATCCCAATATATACCCTATTGTAATATAGTAGTTTCCATGTTCTTTCCATTGTCCCTCTATAACCCCAATAATAGACCCTCATACAAGCCGTAAGTGGAGGAGACATTGGGTTCCAGCAAAGGTTACACACGCCCCTGCTGAGACGATGGTAATACTACAGGTGCACGTAAGGTTTCTTATGGGTTTCTTATGGTTGTTCACGAGGGTCCCTAAAACAGCTGCTGAATAGATTCCCATGTGTGTCTTGGTATGGCTTAGCTTCCTGTCTGCAAACCTTGGCTGCGAGTCCTTTAGAGAAGGGGTCGTCCTTGGGGGGCATGTGCTAGGTGGGTAGTGAAAAACCCAAGTTAGAACAAGGTATCCTTCATGAGTATTACTATAGAGTCAAGAGAACACCCGTGCCTCGTACCGTATCTACCTGCCTGGGGCATAGTGGCTTGCGTGGTTATCAAGGTCAGCCATGGTACTTGCGTGACAGAAAGCCAGTGAATTCAGAATCGAAGCAAGAGATCTGGTGTAGGGTTTAGGGTTTAGGGTTGTTAACCCTAAACCCTAAACCCTAGCTAGTGCCATGGGGACTAGTTGTATTGTCTCGGCCATCCACTGAACTTCAGAGTCTAGGCCCTGAAGCCCTAAACCCTACAGGGTTTAGGGCTTAGGGCTTTGGGTCGCATAGACCCCAAAGCACACGTACCAAGCCCCACACCTCTCATCGGCAGACCTACACTTTGAACCCCAAACCCAAACTTCCCCAACCCCCCAATCCCTAAATCCTATACCCCAAACCCCTAAATCCTATACCCTAAACCCTACACTCCAATTCCTACTTGCCTCAGCCCTAAATGGAGCAATATGGGGTCTATATTGGGGTCCCCCTATTTAGGGGAATCACCAAATCCTAACAACGCCCTCATACCTACTTTCTACCGGATATGTACCTTTAAGGGTCCCTAGACTTCCCCTAAAGGCTGGAGGGCCCAAATTAGGGGCCCATACTTAGACCCTAAACCCTAAACCCTAAACCCTAAACGACGCCAACAAAGACATCTGCAGCGGCAGGCTCTACCACAAAAGCGGCTCAGCAGGCAACTGCCTCGTCGGTCACAGGGCGGCGGGCTCTGCACCACACTGGGAGTTTGTCAAAATTGCGGGGGCATTAGGGTTTGGGTTTGGGGTTTAGCTTTTAGGGTTTTGGGTTTATGGGCTTCGGTGTTAGGGTTGAGGGGTTGGTTTTGAAGGTTTAGGTTTGAGGGTTTGGGCGTGTGGTTAGGGTTTCGAGTTTCCCGACATGGGGCCAAGACTCAAAGACTAGGGAGTATCAGGGAATTTGGGGGGCCTTGTTCGTGATTTTATAGCGATCGTTTTCAGAGGTATCCACCTCGGGGGGGAAGGAGTGGGGGGTGTAGACTGTGGAGTAGGTGTAGGATTTGGGGGTTACAGGGTTTCCAGCGTTTATAGGATTGTGTTTTTGCTATCATTGCTTTCCGTTTTGCCAGAGTATGGTGGTGGTTTCGGGGTGAGGGTGAAAGGGTAACAGGGTGGAAGGGTTCAGACGGTGGTTTCCACAAATAGCGTCACCCCAAGATAGACCCCAAATGCTAGGCTATAATACTAGTGTAATCCTTGACTTAGTATAGGGCCCTAATTTTGGGAAACCCACATACGCACAACCCCGAATCACCAATATCAGTTTGAGGTATACCCCTCACTAGTAATGGGGGATAATATAGGGGTAATATAGCAATATAGGGGGGATATAAGGATTATATAGGGATATGGAGAAGAAATGGAAACTACTATGATATACTATGATAATATACGTGTACAAAGAATCTAGGACCATGGTAGGGAAGCTGCTGAGGCAGCTGCAGGCTGCAGGCATGATATGGGTGCTCCCGTTTTCTTGGGATTTACAAGCTTCTTCCGAAATTGGTCATACATGGTCTTAGGCACGGCCTCCTTAGAATTATCTGCGAATTATTTAGCTTCTCCTACGTCTGCAGAACGAGAATAGCATACCCTCAACTTCCGTGTAGAGATATGCCCGTTGGGTATGTCGAATGTGTCTCAGAAATACCTACACTTAGTCCTTGGAGTTCCAGCTGCGGATGCCTTTAACCCCTTAAGGAAGACCCCTGGGAGGATCTAGAAGGTAGAATCCCCAATACGGTACCTTGCACTGCTATAGGCTATTTTCAAGGAATTCTTAAGGAGACTCTTTATAGATCCTCCTAGGTGTCTGGGAAGTTGCCAAGTTGTACCCAGTACCAGCCTGAAAACCAAGCCTCATACTACCTTCATACTACTTTGACTTATCTCTATGTACTTCCTGTGTCACAGGCCCTAGGCAAAACCCAACATGAAACATTATTTCAAACCCTAAACCCTAACCCTAAACATTGGTTCCTCCATTTTGCTTCCTGAGTGTTTTGGGTCCCTGTATATCATGATGCCTGATTTCCTGTCATGCCTGCAATATTCCTTGATGAGTCCTAGAAGGCCTTATACATACATGGGGGTTGTTCTGAACGTCCTTGTAAAGAAAGGACCATTGGGAATACACTTCCTTAAAAGGGGATCCTAACCAAACGGGGAACGTACATTATGGCCATTTTGGGGACAAGTATTCTGAACAACCAGCACATGAGAGAACGCGTAGGTGCCCCCGGATGGGCGACCCTTAGTCCTAATCCTTAAAGTCTGATCCCTTGACCCTAGTCCCTAAGCCCTAAATTTTAAAACCTCCCCGACCCCTAAACCCTGAAACCCTAAAACCTCAACCTAAACCATATTCCCTAAACCATAATCCCTAAACCTTCAATCCCTAAACCCTGGTCCTTAATCCATTCAACCCTGATCCCTAAACCTAAAACCTAGTCCATAATCTCTAATCCCTAAACCCTGAAACCTAATCCATGAAACCCTAATCCCCAAACCCTCAAACCTAAGCTGCCGCCAAGGCATCAAGCTGTGGTTCTGCTCAGCCTGGGCATCGTCGCAGCGATTGGTGTGCTGCTGCTTTTCCCTGAGCTCCGGTGCGAGCCCAAGTTGGTCTAGGGATGATTTCCGTTTAGGATTTATAGAAACTGTATAGGGTTCGGATCCCTGAGTTTCGACTTGAGTTTTGACCTGAGTTTTGCCAAAAAGGTTTGACCGAAAGTTTTTGGTTTTAACTTGTACCCAACCCATTTGACGCTTTGGCTCTCCAGACCATTCCTGGGCTGGTTCTTGACCCGTTTGAGGGCCTGTTTTGAAGCTCTCTCAGACCAGTCTGGGCGTTTGACCGAAAGTTTTGAACTGAGTTTTGACCGAAGGTGTTTGGCTTTAGCTTGTCCAAAACCCGTTTGGTGCTTTGGCTCTCCAGACCATTTCTGGGCTGGTTTTGGAACTCTCCCAAACCATTTCTGGGCGGCTCTGGGGAGAACCCCTTTTTTTGTGGCTTGCTTTGGGGTTCTCCAAATCATTTCGGTGCTTTTCCAGACCTGCTGTTGGGCTGGCTGATTTGGGCTGGTTCTAGGGCTGGTTTTATCCTGTTGGGACCGCTTTGGGCTTTCCCAAACCATTCTTGGGTGTTTTGGGTCTGGCTATTTGGGGACAGTTTACGTCTGCCTGTTTGGCGCCTAGCTGCGTTTGGGCCGGGCAGGGACTTTGAAACAGCACCAAACGGTTTAAGCGAAAACAAAGGTTATAGGCGGTTTCTTGCTGAGCGAAGTTTCAGTGAAGTTTTGTTTTTTGGGATTCCTTCTTGGCTAAAGCGGCTATGTGCATGATGCAGAGATTTGGAGTTGCGCAGCTGCATGATCGTGCT